TAGAGCGTTTGATGTAGGCCTGATTTGACCAGATTATATTCTTTCAATATTTTGGTGATTTATCAACTTGCATAGAGGACAGGCAAAATTGTCTTTGCGCCACATTTTTTATTTTTTCCACTGAAAAACCTGTTTATTCTAACTGTGTATCTCTTTAAAATTCTCTGCAAGGTCCTTGTCCTTTGAGCAACTTTTCAGACTTTTCTTTTGACTCCTTTGTCATAAGTATTGTGAGGAACCGATGATCTTTATTGTGAAACGATGTTCTTTTAACTTCCTTATGTGGCACTTTTGTATTCCATTCTTTTACATTTTTTTCTCCTCTTTATGATGTATTTTTTGACAATGCGGCTCATATAAAAGTATACTCTGGTGCATCTTGTAGTCCGGAAAATGAACAGGTAAAACTAGTTTGATTCCTGAAAATGTTTGTCCTCAACACTTTTGGTTTTATCAACCACTTCATAAAGTTATCACCTAATAGCTCTTTAAATGGCAGTTATTTAATCATTTCTTGACTGATTTCAGACATTCTGGTAAGATAAACTCCAAATATACCAAACTGTAATAAAAGTTACTTCACTCAAAAATCCAAACTGACTCTTTAACATCGATTCAAGACAGGAAGGTCAATCAGCTCGGAAAATGTCATGGTCTTCATCCTTTGTATTAATTCCTGTCACCATCACAACCGTCAAATGCCAAGATGAAACTGGCTCTCTTGACGATTGCCTCGGGACATCAAGATGAAGATTTTTCTCTGCTGAAGATAAGAAATTCAAGTATGGAAATGAAATAATACAGAAAGCCTTACATCAAAGCTATCACGGATTCAAGCAGACATGTCAAAACATCAGCTGCTCAGGCGAGACTGCCGAAAGCTGGCTTTCATGGACCCCTTTCCTTCAATGAAAGCACTAATCAGGAAGATTGGCAGGAACTGGAGCCAAAGATCCTCAAGTAGTCCAGTAGAAATGTGTGTGTCTATCTGAAATGGCATGATTTATTATTTGAATCACAGAGATTACTGCTTCAAATGACCTCATAAGACACTAAAGAGGATCAATATTAAAATGGGCCTGCATTAAAGTTAGGGTAATAAAATAAAAATTATAGACTAAATGTCAGCTGTGAAAAAAGGTTTATAAATTCTGAGCAACCTGTTCAAGCACAAATTATAGAAACACTTCTCATATGACAGAACAGTTTGTCCCAGTTTTCCTGCAAGTAAAACATAAAAAATAATAATAATAATAATTAAAAAAAACACTTCTCCAGCTACAACACAGTAAAACAGAAGCATAATTGCCTCACAAATGAACAATTTCATTTTATCATGTGTCTCATTTTGGATTTCATTTTCCGCTTCAGGTAATGGTTGGAAGGATTTACTTTCAAGGCTGCATTTAAGGCTGTCAGAAATAATCAGTTTTTTTGTAGAAAACTGATTATCAAAGCGCCATTTCACAACAAATGTCATCATGTGGGACATTGCAAAAATTTTAATAAAGCAAAACAATACATTTAGCTGAAAACAATGATCTGTAGAGAGGGATGTGGAGTGTTTTATAAAGGTGGCATATTCACAAATCTATAAAGCACAAACTTAATATGTGTCAGCTCACATTCTGTTGCAGCTGAATGTGCATTCATATTCAATAAATTAGAACATACATTTAGATGAGACTTGATTGTTAGATTGAAAGTATCATTCGAATATATCAACATTTAAGCCAGTATTAATTATATTTTCCATTATATCCACATTCCATTAAAAATGTGATTTGTAATAGATCTAGTGTAATACTTCATTCTTAAATGTCATGTTTTCATTAAATGTAGTTTACATTTCACCAACTTCAAAGGTGCAGACTAAATATTGCAACATCATCTCTGCGTAGGCAGTGACCTCCACCATGGTGGGCGTCCTGTGTGGCATTGAGAAGTTCCTGGTTTGACCTCATATAGGCTGCAGAGCAGTGAGAGCTCAAGATGCTGAATGTAAAAAAAAAAAAAGTCAGGATGGAAGTGATATAAGTAGAAGGAAATAAAATGAAGTGAAAAAAAAAACTTGTGTAACAAAAATGATGCATACTCCACACCTCCGCTTGATTTATGTTATGAAACTGGTTTTGTTGACTAACCTGAAGCGAGTGATCATCAGCTGGGGCATGGCTGATCAATCAGAACGCACCTTTAAATATGAAATGAGAAGTGATAGTGGCACTTTATGGAAGAGGAAAACTCTAATCATATGCATTATTAAGTTTCCGTTTTGCAGCTTTTTGTTTATGGGGTCTCGAGACCCCAGTCAGCGTCTAAATCTAAAGAGGAGCCATCAACATGTTGGAAAATGATCAAGCTGAATTGAATGGCGACATGTTAACGTTTCTCGCCACAGCATGAAGGTTATTTCTCCTGTTTGCAGCAGCAGAGTTGTCATTATTTCCACCTGCTGGGTTTTTTGGTTTATGCTCAAATAAATTCATCAACACAGATAAAAACATGCTTCTATCCAAAATAGATATAGCAAAAGTGAAAAAGTATTTAAGGAAGTCCATTTACATCTGGGTAACAACAGACTTGGTTTTGATTACAGTGGCTGCTGTCTGTTATATAACAAAGGTTCAAACTGCATTAAATCACAGACCTGCACAGCCATCCTTTACATATCAGTCAGCAGATGCTAGAATGTAGATATGCTAATGTTTGACCTTGACTATAAATAATTGTCTGCAGCAAAGTTATTGTCATCAAAATGAGTGCTGACTGTACAGAGCTGGAAGCATACACCTTATTGGGAGTCAGTAACTTATTTTCCCAAAATTGAAAAGTGGGTTAAATCATATTTTGCTGAAGGTTCAAATGAGCACTTTGAACATCCACAGCAAAATGCCTGAAGAACATGTTAGCTATGTCAAATATGAAATAAAGTACTTTATATTGGGCAAACCTCAATGTATAGCAGTTTGAAAGAATAGCGGTTAACTTCCTTTAACTCGACAGTTCGCAAATCCAAGGATAGCAGCATAGTGATTATCAATGTCACAGTCAGACAGAACCTTTAATTTATCGATTGTACCAGTCTCATTGTTCCTGTCTTCTCCATCAGTCTCAAAACGTCCAATTTACAATCTGAATGGCAGTGAGGCCCTGCAGTATTGAGCTGTGAGTAATGCTGCTGTGACCTCTGCAGAGCTTTTCTCTGCCATTTTCTCATTTCGTGCTGGGCTTTGAGGCGACACGTCAAAATATTGACAGGAAAACACACAAGGCTTTAACACACGGTGTGATAACAGTACCATGGCTGCTTGGCAGACTAAGGGAAAACAAATCTCTCATATGTGTCACTAATATATCAGAAGTACTGGAAAATTTTAAGAAACAATGGAAAGAATATTACAGTAAGCAGCAGACTTTGTGATGCAAAGGGGAATAATGGAAGTGGAACAAAAGGGACAGAAAGCAGCAACATGACAGTCCCAGTAAATCGTCGCAAATGAAAAAGGAAACTTTATTTTAGTATATTATTTACTGCAGAAACAACATGTCAGTGGCTGCTCAGTTGTTATCACTGTTGTGTCGCAGCCAGAGGATGCTGGGTTTGATTTCTGACCAGAGTTCATTCTGCCTGTAGCATACATTGTTAATTAATTTTGTCTGAAAGAAAACTATGTCAATCTGACTGTGAAATTTAACAAATCAATCAAAAAGATTTGAATCTCCCTTTAGATATCTAGAAAAACTTAATAATTCTGATCTTTGAAATAACAGATTTGTCATGTTTTATTTATTTTTACTAACTAACTCAGATCAATGGCAGTTCCACTGTTAGAAGAGTTTTATGTATGGAAGGATTCATAAAAGTAAGTTGGACTGGAATAATGTCTACAGCAGTGGCTTTAAGAGACAGAGTTGAGTGTTTTATGAAGAGGCAGCTGAATATAAACTGACTGAAGTGACAGCTGAAGACTGACAAGAGGGCTGAGGAAGCAGGTCACCTCTTGACAGCGGCGACACGCTGAGGAGCCGGAAGACGAGGCAAACTGACCAGACGCTCACTGGGGACGCTCACACAGACTCCAAATGTCACTCGATATGAATTAGAGATCTCCGACGGTGGTTCGCCCAGAAAGAAGGGGTGAGAGGGGCTAACATTCCTGATGGTTGACCTTTTAACTTAGACAGACTATATTTACATTTTGAATCCTTCATTCACTGTAGAAAATCTACACCTGTACTGAAAAGACTTGTCGATTAAAACTCTATTTAGAGGAGGTTTTCCTTCTTTAAGATAATCATTGTTTTGTTTTCCCAAACCGTTCTTCTTTCAAACAAAAATCTCAGTTAAAGATCAACTTTTTCTGGAGACGCCAAATTGGATTCTCCATCCAGGATCACAGACAGATGAGCAGCATCTGAGTAAAAACGTACATTTGATTTGATGAATACATCATGTTGTGACAGTTTTGCTGTTGGAGTAGGAAATGTTTTAGTGTTTATTCAAGTGATTGAACTAATTTTCAATGATAATTTGTTGGAACAATTTGGAAAACCGTAGCCTAAAGCATCTTTTACAGTGAGTGCAAGGATAATATTTGTGCATGCACAAAGATCTTTGTTTATGCCAAAGGCATGCAGCTTTTGTTCTGACTGACTGTGTATCCTCTGTTTCTCACCCTCCACTTGCTCCCTGTTGTCTCACTCAGTTTTTAATCAACTGTTGGAACGCAACCAAAAACTTGGACAATCATAAAGAGCGGCAATCAAATATAAACAAGTTCACAGCTTTTTCTTTTTTTTTTCATAATACAATATAACAATGCATCTCTGTTTATTTCTGCGATAAAAACGTGTTTATTTGTCTTGTTGCAATAAAACCCAACATTAGCGAGTACTGAATGTATACCTCAGACGTGAAGCTCATTACGCTGTTGTTCTGCAAGAGTAAGTCTGTTTTCATTTCTCTCCTCTGTGCATATTTGTGCTTGGTTACTCACTTGGCTGTGTCCTCCCAGCTACACCACCGACTCTGGTCCAGTTCCTGCATGTCTAGCCTGAATCTGGTCAGGCAGAACTCCTCGATCAGGTACTCGTAGTGGTCTCCACATCCCAGCGCCGGGGAACACTGAGCCACTGGTAAGTGAGGGAAAGAAGAGAAAATGAAGAGAACAAAGAAAAAAGGGAGATAGGAGTTCAAACTTATTATGAATGTAATTATATCCCAGCATGATACAGAAAGCTGGATTCAAAAATATATGTTGTAATACATTAATTATAGCAATGATGTTCAAGTCGCCACAGCTGTAACATACTCAGTAAATTAGAATATACTTTCAGATGAGTCCCATTATTATCATAAAAGGTATTATTATTATTATTATTACGTTTTGCAAATTTACAACTTTCCTGCAGGTATTAAATATACTTTTCATTAAGGCAACATGTCTGTATTAATTGTATGATTTAATATTTACATTTTTATTAATCGTAAGTGGAAAATTATCATATTGTGTTTCACTTAGTGAAAGATATCTGAAATAAATTTACTTTTCAGTAATATTCTACCCTATTTGATGGGTGTGTATAAATGAAGTACACCCTCTTCTAGAGCTTTATGTGTAAAGACACAATTGAAATTATTTGGTGACATGAACAAAAACATAATATAATACACATGTTCAGTATTTATTAAACAAATATCTTTAAACATTTCCTTATTCTCAGGTCTGTTTGTGGTAATCTAATGTGCTCTGGGCTGTTTTTCATGTAAATATGTACTTTTCTCCATCAGCTATACAGTCTTTCGTCTCTCTTTTATGTTCGGACAAATATCTGTGTTTTTATTTAATAATAATTGATAACTGGTAACTTATCAATTATGAATTAATTGATAAGTTAACTACATTCCACCAGGTTCTCCTGCCACCAGAAACATTGAGAGTTGTTTTGTAGAGATTTTATATATATATATATATATTTTTTTTAAAATAATATTGTCAATATTCTATTTCTTGTCCCTCATCTATTTTTTGGAGCTTTAATGACTTTGAACTTGACAAACAAATAACCTGCAGCCTGTTTCTTTTTTTCCCCTTGAATTCATGCACTTTGTCCCTCCCAGTGATGCTTTCCATCCTGCCAACCGTGAGTTCATTCCAGAACAACCTCTGAAAGCTGTTTTCCACCTACTTCTCCACTCCCCTGCCTCTGCTCCACCTTCACTTTGCTCATTCTCCTCATTAGAGGTTAATGATAACTCTCTGTTCTGCACTAAGCTAATGTCTGGATCTCCTAAGTCCTCTATCTAAGCAAACTGCATGCAGCTGATACTCTGAAAGCTGAGTGCTGACCTCAGAGATGTTCAAAGAAAACACAATAATTCCAGCTGGTTTGAAAGGTTATCAGTCATTTTATGCCCCGCCACTTTGCAAAAATGGCTCTTTACAAAGATAAAATTAATGATACTCTTAAGGTCAGACTATTCTTCTTCCTGACAAAATTCCCTCATATTGCACTTGCTTCACCTACTTGTACACAATATTAACAAAACACCAATTTCGGCTTCATTAGACCTTTTTTTTCCCGATCCAGCCTCATTTTATAGCACATATAATTGTGGTATAGGTACTAATTTATTAGTTTTAGTTTGGGAAAGGTTTACAATATCATATAAACTTTATTTATGTATTACATTTAAAAACAGCAAGCCCTGATCAAAATTATGAATATGATCATGCAAAGACAAAACAAAAGTAAACATAAGAATGGACAACATAGACATATTTTATCAACCAGAGATGGGAGTGCATAATACATGAGAGAAGAAAAACATTTCAAGATTTTAAAGGGACAGTATTATGTATTTCCAAGGCACATACTACCATTTTATGGCACAATAAAGTAACCATTATCTGCAGGTGTGATAAAAATGCTTTATATGTCAAACATGACAAAAGAAACAACAGATTTTATCCATGATGCTGTTTGCAAAGTTTTCAGAACTGAGAATCAGATGCAGCTCCACCAGGTGTTTGCTAATTTCTAATTTGGTTGCGTTGTGCAATCATGGATACATTCACAACACAGATTACAATAGTATTCTGGAATAGTGAGAAAAATTTGCACAGCTTTTGGAACTTTCAAATTTTCAAAAAGAAAATTTTGCAGGATTTTGAACACAACTGAAAATGTTTTATTTCTGTCACATCTTGAGCTTTTTCACTGTATGACAACAAAAACAGAAAACATACAAATGAGAAATGAATAATAATATATTTGGACACATTTATATTTAGTGTATGATCCAGAACAATGAAATAGTTTAGTTGGAAAAGTTTAAACTGCAAATACTGTGATGCTCTTATAATTACCTAATTGACAAAACTGTATGTAGCTGGTTTTTAGTGAATTAAACACATGAAAACTTAACAAACAGACATTTACTGCCTCATGCAGGGATTGTAATTTTAGCTTTTTGTTTTACTCCAAACTGTACTTCCTGTGAAAAGAAGATTTGTACAAAATCTCTGAACTATTTATGGGGAAACACATCTTCATAAAAGCATATCGAATGGAGAAGTCTCTCAGGCATATACACATCCTTATATGTCAGAGAAACAGTCTGCATGACCAGAGCCAAGCAGTTTGCTGTAAAAAGAAGACCTCTGGCAAACCATGCAATCATAAAGGCCAGGTGGCGCTTTGCACAGGCATCCAAAAAAAAAAAAAAAAATTTGGAACAAAGAGATATACACACATCATTTCTTCTCTGAATATCCTGAACTAGACAAGTCAGTGACCTGATGATAATCTAGCTATGTTGCAGTCCACTTCCTGAAGACCAGACTGAGAGCACTTGGCGGCTGCAGACAACTTCAAAACCTCAAAAATGTCCTTTAATAAAGGTTAGACTTCGAGTTAGGAATAAATCAATGGCAAATAATACTTTCCGGGGTTCTCCAGTAGTGAATTGTTGGACTGTTGGGTTAAAAAATTTTAGTTAACTTTTAGTTATGTTTAAACATGTTAAGTTTAAAAGTTGTGACTCCACTTATGAACATAGATCAAAACATGTTAAATATTCCCTGTTGGAGCTGTATGTTAGAGAGGAGGGAGGATGGGAAATGAAAAAGAAGGTCATGAATATTAAACAAAACTTGTTTACATTTATATAAAGTGGTTGGTGTTAAAGGAAGCAGGAAAGTATTTGCTCCAGTCTACAGAAATCTAGTAAGAGATGGAGAAAGAGTGATTTTGAGTAAACAGAGATAAAGAAGAGAAGAGAGATCATGTTGGTCAGTCCTGAGAAGCTGAGATCTTCCAACTAAAAGAGAAAACTGAACTGTAGAAGTGAGCAGTTTGTTCAACTTAAGAAAAAATGAAGTCTGCTGGAATGCAAGCTTCTACCTCCCACATGTTCTGACTTCACCACATGAAGAGTAAAATACTCCCTTTACTTATTATGAATGTCTTCATGAAGGGAAACTTGGTATTCAGACCTTTCCAAAATAAGCACAGTTAATGTGCTTCTTTAAACTCAAATCAATCAGGGTTTGGAAAAATGCTAGGTAGTATTTTTCTAGTAATGTCCTTTTCCATTATAATTATCCTTGTCCCATTCTGGAAGTTTATATTAATGAATCGTTTTCATCAGTCTAACAAACCAAACCATACAAAGATGATTTGGAGACCCTGCCAACAACCCCAGCATTGGTTTTCTTTTTGTTAAATCTATTTGTATTAATACCCAAATATGCACTTATCCTGATTTTCTGGATCTATAAAAAATAGTTTTGAAGCAAATTATTCACATAAGTGACAGAAAAACTTTCTTCAGTCAATTTCCTCACTGTAAAAGTACAAGGAAATCTTCTAGTGTGTATTGGATCTTGAGGCTTACTGTGCATTAAAAATCTTCCACTTAAGTGGGCTAATTGAAGCTTGATAATGAAGGCTCAGTAGAATGCATGCTGATGAGCAAGAAAGCCTGGAGGATGCAAGAAACTGCATAATCATGCCTAGAGTCTGGGTATACAATGGAGATATAAGTTATTGTTAGAACATAACAGTGGAGGATTATCTCATTGTAATCACAAGCAGCCAACAGTTTTTGCCTGACAGTTAAATTGCTTTGCCACGCTGGGAAAAGAAAATCATGGTTGACATATGATCCTTTCTGCTCTCGGTTTCATTTAATTTTGACTCCATATTGGCTCAGTGCAGAAAACCCCAGGCTAGGATTCAAACTGAGGACCTTCCTCTTGCAAAGCAACCAAATGCTCTACCAGACCAGAGTAGGTAGATCAGTATTGATATATTCAGCACTTTGTTATATGTAAACAACAAAAATAGTGTTTTATAAAATGTATCGCCTATCATCCCTATAAAGGTTAACACGTTTTTAATCTAAAAAGTTGAATGCATTAATATTACATCATGCAGATTAATTGTAATACCCTAAAAGCCTCTCTCCATCACAGGGTTTTGTTAGTACACGGTACAGTACACGGTCTTGTACTGCGGTCAACATTGAAAACGCAAGTAAAAAGACGAGTGAGGAGAGTCAGACTGGAGTGTCAAGGGAGAAATTTCACTTTAAAAAAACTCTGTGATGGATGTTTGGATAAAAGCAAGGTAATACGTATCCTACTTTTTGCATAGGTGAAAAATCCTTCCTCCTGACACAGCCAGTTTATAAATATTTCTAAATTACATTTGAAACAAAATGACATTTTTCTTAAACTTACCTGCATATGAAAACCTGGAAAACTGAAATGTTTGGTTTGAGACAATAAAACAAAGTTTGCAGGTGCACAAGTAGATTCTCAGTAACTAGCATAGCTTTGTCCCACAGTTAAAAAATACAACTCTAAATTGTTTTTGATGCGTGTCTGTCTGCATGGTTGTTTGTCTCCATGTTGCCCTGTGATACATTGGCTACCTGTTTGCTTGTACCCGGCCTTTTGTCCATTGATGTCTGGAGATAGGCAACAGCCTTCCCCCATGGATGGATGGGGAAAGGCTGTAATGGAGTAGTGGAAATACTACGTTCTGTTGTCTGTAGGGTATGGACCTGTCAGTTCTTTTTATTGATGGTAGAAAACAAACCTTTACGGAGGTGTTCAAAGGCAGAT